TCAGTAGAGGGCATACATATGGGTTAAGGTTGGTGTTTTATTTTTGCTATTCACTTAAAAGAGATTTGGCCCACAAGCATATTTAACAGCTTGACTTTTTAGAAAGCAAAAGATTTTGCACTTGGTACTTTGAAAATATCAGAAGTTCATAAAACAAGCATTCAAGAGGCATGAAGGAGTGAGGACAAAGTGGATCCAAAACCCACCGGTAAGACAATTGGACAGTCGCTCACAGAAGGGCCACACAGAAAATACGTTAAGTCCAGGGTGCTGTATAGCACTGATGAAACACATAACTATCCTCTAGTTCTTTCATATTTCTTTCCCTCACTATTATGCTTCTTATTTTACCTCATTAATCATGTTAGATATGAGTATGTTCAGTTGTACAGTTAAGATCATTTGATGCATGAAAGCCAAGATAGATAACCCTTCAGAAATAGTAATGGGAGTAATGACTCCCTGAGGGGTATGGGAAGAGAGGGTGGAGAAGGGGAGAAGGGGGAGCTGATAGTAATGATGAATGCATAATTCCATTTGAGGGGAATGAATAACAGAATTGTAGGATATATTGGATGGTATAAAGCAAGGAAACAACAATAATACTAATATATAACATAATAACAAGGGTTCCTGGGGGGTGGGGTGGGGGGAGTTGATAACAAGGAGTTCAAGAAGAAAGAAAACATTTTGAAACTGATGCAGCAGCAATTGTACAATTATGCTTGATCTAATTGATTTATGAATAGTTACAACATCTGTAGGAGCTTCCAACAAAATATTGAAATAATAATAATACATTTAAAAATAATAATAAAATGTCAAGGTTTTGAAAATGAAGACTTAAGAGATATTATTTTTTGTTCTACTTAGGTTTTAGCTAAAAAGGTGGTATCTGATCACTATAATTTTTGAGGAACAGAATTCTACCGTTTACAATATCCTTTTGCACATTTACAAATGTGCTTTTATAGAAAACACACCTGTGATTTTGGGGAATACAACTTCTAAAATGAATTCCCTATAAACTGAGACTAAAGCAAGGTCAAGTCAAGTTTTCTGCAGCTCGAATAGCTTTGTTTTACAAGGGAAGCTTGCATTTACTATTCAGCTTTAAATTTGGGGTTTACTAATCATAAAAAATCAGAGTTCAGCCTTGCATCATAACAATCTAGTCAATGATTCAATACATTTCTTAGAGAGCTGTAATTCGATAACCACTTGCTATTCAGTAAAAAGGAAAGCTGACCTTTCTCCTTGTGGTGAAGTAACTATATGAAGAACAAAAGATTTATGATTCAAATTAGCCGAAATAGAATTTAAGAACAGAGAACTCTGCTTCTTTTTTGGAACTCCCATCGTCTTTCCTCTGTGTTGGTAACACAGAGTTCCCACCATGTCCCATACAGGGCAACGTGAGCTCCACCGTTGTGCATTCGTAGGAGAGTGCAGTGTGACATTATGCAGCTATGCAGGGAAGATATTTGGTACAATCCATCATCTATTAAAATGCTGTCAGTGTAATGGTGAGACTTGAGCGCACAGTACAGAGCCCTGTGCTAAGAAGCAAAAACAAATAACCGATCACATTGGCAAAGTCAGCGATTTTGCTTTCACAGCAAAGCGTGAATCCTAATTTAGTCTTACAGTACTTTCTCCTCAGTGTCTGTTCTGGAGAACAATGACAACGTGCAAACCCAACTGCTCTAGCTGCCCTAAGTGGGCTTTGACAGCTTTCCAGGGTCACTAGATAGGAAATCTAATAGGCTCTGTCCTTCCGCTTTCTGTTGCTCTGTTGTCCTTGTCCCTCTTCCTTCCCTCGTCTCTGCTGCTTCATTTCCCGCTCACTGTTCCCACTCCACTTTAACCATTCAGCTGCCTTTGTAAAGACCAGGGTGCTCTGCTCTCCTCGATGCCTGCTGCCTAAGAGTTGTTTTGATCCCATTCTGATCGAGAACTTAGAGCCCTTAGAGCCACGCCTGAGCGAGAACCTGTAGGGCATCTTGGAGGCAAACTTTCTTCCTCTAAAGCAGGTGATGAGGGTGTAGTATGGCTGCTAGGGAGACTTTTACATGCAAACTTCTGCAAGTGCCGGCAGGAGAAATGTGATTGAGGAGAAAAGCGGCAAGCGGTTATGAATTATGAACAACATAGTTGAGACACAAATATTGGCATCTTGAATTTATTTGTAAAGCACGTACCAGCTACTGTTATAAAGTAGATACCTAACAGACATTTTTATAACTTTAGTGTTAGTTATTGAATGGTTTAGTTAGAAGCCGACTACTTGAGATGATTCATTTCATTAACAGTCACAGAGACCACCTTCACTAACGTTATTGGGAATATAAATTAAATAAGCAGCATGGATGTGGAAGAAATAAGTGATTTTTGTTTCTTCTCAGCTTTTGTTTTATGTTAATACTTATTTTATATAATCAGCCTAAATTTGAATAATAGTAGACTAATAATATTAGAATAATGATATTTTACTTATTTAGTACTTTATTTCACTTAATAACCAAAACACATAATTTATCATGTGCTCTTATACCCATGTTACAGATAAAAAACAGTGGTTCCAAAAGATGAAGTTTCTCACTCAAGGCATTTAACTGGCAAATGTTTCTATCACAAAAGCCTAAGTCAGAGCGCCCAATCTAGTCATTCATTCATTCATGTACATGTTTATTATGCCACATGTACTTCCAGAGACACTCAGTTTGATCATTTTATACCATATCATATTATTTTTTTATTTTCATAGGAGAGATAGAGATTCTTTTCAGACTCAAGTTATTTTGTCTCACTGCCATAGATGGCCTTAAGTCTTTTTATGTTTTAGCATCATAGAATGTTTAATTTCACAATCTATTAATGATAAAGATGAAAAGGGCCTCTTGATAAAATTATTTACAGGATATAAACCAGAAATACTGTCATGAGGCCAATATTAAGGGTGGCACATTTGATTACGTGATGATGTTTAACCAATGTCCCATGCTAAAGACAACAAAGTGGTGGGTGGTGATTCCAGGAACCACCCCAGCCACAAAGAGTATGGATTTAAATGAGTGGTCCTATAAACACATGACACGATTTAGTGGCAGGGAGTAACAGAGCACTGGTGGGCAGCAGCTGCTGCACAGGAGACTCAAGGGGACCAAAGACAGGGAGCTGATGCTGCAGGGAGATGCGTGAGACCTGCTGCCTTCCAGCATGGAGCTGAAGCTGTACGGACGGCAAGGGATGCACGTGTAAAAGATGACCAAAGTCTTGGGCGGCGGCTGAAGAAAGACCCCCGCCACAGCCTGCCCCTTCTCCCAGCTACAGAAGCCCTACAGAACCTTCCTGCCACTGGCAGCTGGTAAACTCCTCAGATTTTTCCAGATGTGCACTCCCTCCGGCCACAAAGAGAGGATAATCCTTAACCTCAGTGCAGGGCTGCAATACAGATGAACACTTCTCTCTTTCTTAAAGATGGCTGTTGCTTTCTTAAGTCTCCTCTTTAAAACTTGACAGGCTTTCTTCCCCTTTCCTGTGTTGACCCAGTCTGTGCTATATATTGTTTGACAGTCCATGCTGAAATCCATCATTTTTACATTCTATTTTTTATGAACTTCTTGAAGCGCCTTAGTGTATCTTAATATTTAAAAAAATGTAAAAATCAAAATTTTAGGAGAATGTCAAATGCATAAGTGGAAAAAGCTCAAGTATGGAAACTAGGGCCTGGAAATGACTCATTTTTGTTCAGAAAATACAAATCTGGGTATTTAGCTTCCTACCCTTGAATGTGTGATACCTGATCACACAGGAGACCTGCCTGCACAGTGGCTAAAGCCTGTGGCTGCTAAGCAAAAGGTCAGTGGCTCAAATCTACCTCCTGTTCCACAGGAGAGAGATGAGACCCTGGGTGGACACCCTATGGGATAGTTCTCCTCTGTCCTGTTGGATCACTGTGAGTCAGAATCAACCTGATGTCAACAAGTTTTTGTTCACCTTAGTCAACGAAAGCTCTGAAAGGATAAAAAGGTAACATTGTGTCCTGATGTAAGTAGCATATCCAATAATAATAACAATAACGCACCCTATTAAATTTTTTTATTTTTACATATGCTCTCTGACATTTGTCTTCCCAGGAATCCTTTGGGGCCAGTGACAGAAAAGGAAACAAAGGCACACCCGCGAGCATACCAGGAGTATGAGCAACTTGTCCCAGAACTTGTAGTCTTTTTCTCCTGTCTCTCCCTTGAGTCATCTGCAATTGGAATCTGTCTGTCCTACGTATACCTCTCTATAAACTAGAAAACCTGGAAGACCAAAGATCAATGGAACCCTGATTGGGTCAGTCTATATGCAAATGAAACACATAACATTTAAAACTTTGGGCTAATGTGATATTAGGTCCCTAAATAGGAAATCTAACCAATATAGAGTTTTAATCATCTGGGGATGATAATTATCACTAAAGATCATGGTGACAATTAACTTAGAAATACCCATTCACTTTGCTGTCTTTCTGTACATGTCCATCTGTTAGCAGACAATTACCGCCACATTTCAACTATTTCCTTACAGTCAGTGCTCGTTCACGATAGTTACAATTCCCCCAAGAAAAGCATGGAAAGAAAGCATCCAAAGAAAGCCAAGCACACAAGAGAGAAGGGAAACCAAAGGGCTTCCCTTCTAGAATAACTGAATTGCTCCGAGTTCTTGCAAGAAGCAGAAATGTCTCAATCCTAACAACTGTAGACAACAACTCACAAGGCCTGCTGCTAGTTCCTCCAATGTACTTTGTCCATATCATCTCTCTTGCTCCCTTTTCCTTCTCTCTACACGCTTTCGTTCGAAATTCAGGAACAGCAGTTTGATTGGAAAATATGGCTGCCTGAACGAAGTATGGAGTCTAACAAAAGCTCTACCCCAAAGCTTCTCTGCAGGACACAAGCTGGCACTGGGATAATAGAAAGAGGTAGCCTCAGGTGACTGAGAACACTTACTGTTGGTTGCATAACGTATGGCGGATGAGGCATCCATGAAGTACTCTGGACCTATGCATCAAACAGCATTTATTAGCACAAAGCAATCACAGAGACAACGTGGTTCTAGCGCTCAGTGGACTCCCACTCGGACATTAGGAAGTAGACTCCATCGGACTTTACAGCTACTTAGTGCTCAAAACCGAGGATGAAGGAAAGTTCAGAGGGCTGACTCATTAGGTCTCTGAAACATAATAAAGCATAACGTGTTCACTAGATGCTGTTTCACGAGAGCTGGCTATGATGCCTCCATGGTCCAGGTTGGGTTTTAAGACATATTTGGAGGTTAGTGATGGAGACTAAAAAGTCTTAGGAAGCCTCAGAGACTCTAGGGTACTCCGGTCTCCGAGATGTCCGACAAATAATGAAAAAGGCAAGCGTTCACAGGTGTGACGTCCTCTTCTAACAATGTTTTTTTCATTGATTGTAATGTCAAAGGTTCAGGTGATACTTTCTTAGAAGTTAATGTTAAAGTTAGGTCCAGCACGAAATAGCTTATCTAGAAGTTTGGGGGGAAGGCTTTGGGTTAAACCCATGTCATATACCTTCTTTGCAACTTTATTCTCCTATAGTCATCTGACCGGCAAATAAAAATGAGTGGGGGTTGGGGGCAGCCAACTGTTCTGAGCAGAACCCTGTGTCAGCCACATAGGAAAGTCAGCTTATAAGAGCAGATTGTCACGAGCAGAACCCTGAAGATTGTGTTTTGCCTTGTGAAACTACCCTATGGTTTTCCAGGTGGAATTTTCAATGGAATTGCCAGTGGCACTTTAGATTGTTAAAACAAAGAAAAGAAGAAGCGGTGAGCGGCAAGAAACAACCACATAAGCAATGGCTCTGATTCCCTTTCTGAGAAAAGGGAGGAGCTGGAACTGAATCCCACATGAGAGCCCTCCCAAGTGAAATCACTTTTCTGTGGATAGTTTATGCATGACACCAAAGTGCTCTACCCTGGAACTCAGTGGGTGGTCTTGGCTGACACAGAGGCCAAGATGAAGGAAAAAAATGGAAACACATATCTATGGGTGGGTGTATATATATACACACACTACACCCAGGCAGGCCTGCAGACAGTGCAAAAACTCCCAGCATCTGCACATAGCCTCATAAGTCCCTAGGAGAGGCAATAAAGATATCAGCTCTTGGGACACCCCCAAATGCAATTCCATTCACCTCCCGACATATATCAAGAGTCTGTGTGCAGACAAACAACGAAAGGATCTGCTTCAGGGGGAATCAGACCCAAACCCAACAAACAAAAATGCATCTAATCTCAGGTTTGAGGCTCTGGCAGCTGGGACAACCTGAGAAGTAGTGTGTTACGGCTGAGTACGGTGAAGCGCCAGTGAATTTGTTGCACCAGTACAGTTTTACGCCCATGAACACCCCGCCCGCCCCACCATCTGCATCACATCTAGAAGTATGTCCATGCTCACACTTGCACGCTCTCTCTCTCTCGTTCTCACAACTTTCACACAGTAAGACTAGAGACTGTCTTCCTGCAGGCAGCATTCATATGCATTTTCTAATTTGCACAGAAAAGCGGTTCCAGAAATCCTATTAGATCGAGAGGAGCAGGGAGTATATCCTATGTGATAATTCAGAGACACAAAAGGAGGAGCATATTTCGAGGGAGAAGCCTGCCTACTTCAAGTCACCCACCCACTCCAAGTTCATCAGCTCCCACCACGGGTTTAAAGCACACGTTGAACCTGAGCTGGTCTAGATTTCTCACACGCAGAGCCTTACGGTCTCTTTGAAGTGAGAATGAAGGAAGAGCGAGGGTTAGGTATAATGTTTTACCACTGTCATCAGCCTCCCTCTTGCTGAGGAAATCTGAGTCATCACCTATCCAGGTAGCTTTACCAGGGCAGCGGTGACAAATGAGATGAACGTGATAAAATATCCTGGCATGAGTGAGGGGAATCCCAGAATCGTGCTTTTAGAAGAAACACAAACAAACAAAAACCCAGTGAGGCTCGTGAACAACAAAACAACAGAAAATAAAATCATCTCGCAGTAGTCCATGAGCTAGCTGCACCAGTGTTGGCCTGAAAGCACGCAACAGGAAAACGAAAAGTATGGCAAATGTTACTATTCAGTGGCAGAGATGCAACCAGGCCCGTGAGGGGATCGGCTAATTCATTTAACTTGAAAATCATTACATTCAGGTGTCACTAACGCGTATGAAGACGGGTTTCCTTTTCATTATGTCCTCCTGGCTCTGGATGGACGGACTATCCTGGGCAAGGGAGATCACTCCCGAGGGGCGGGGCGCTTGGACATACCTGGTATGTGGAGACAGGGGAGGCAGCAATGAATGGCGTGAGAGATGTCTGTGGAATCATGCGGCTGGTTGCGATACTGTACGGTGAAGAATAAAATCTGCAAACAGAACACAAAAACAGAAGATTCATGAAGCGGCGGCTTGCCTGGCTGCGAATCCAGTGCTACCGAGCTCCTGGGGAAAGACAGCGTGCCACCCTTGTGCCTCCCACTGACGGGTCACAGGCGCATCCACAGGAGCCACAGTCTCTGAGCCCACTCGGGGAAGTAAATCGTTGCGAACAAAAGGACAACTTTGAGTCCTCTAATAACAATGGGCCACACAAAAATCTCTCCTATGCCACACATATGTAAGTGTCTGTAATCAATGGGGGTGGTGGGGGGTGGTGGGAGGAGACATGTGCAAAAATCTAAAGGAAATGCCGCTCTACAGTTCTAGGAAGGAAATGCAAAAGGACAATTCTGGGTTTCCGAAAGTGGCTGATGTGGCACAGACACAAGCGGAACCCCCTCCTTAGTCAAGACATGAAGGTGCGGCACCTAGAAAGTTCTAAATCGTTTATTCTCGTTACAGGTCTAGGTCCTGGTGTAGACAGTGAGCTACATACTTTCTCTAAGAGACAAGGAAAAACAAGGGAACAATTTATCACCTTATCTCCCTATGGGAATAAGTTTGTGTGTGTGTGTGTTGGTAGACCATCAAGGAACTGGTGCTATGCTATTGTAGAGTCCTTACAAAAAATTTGAAAAAAAATGCTGGTTTCTAGTTCTCCGTATTCACTCTTCACTATATAAATCGGAGGTAGGATGATACCTCTGGAAAGCTGACCAGAGGAAATTAGTGATGCATCTATCTCTGCTCAGCCCATTCCTTAGAATCTACGAATTCACTGCACCTTCATAGTCATCAGCAGCACTGTAAGCTCCTGGTCCTCCTTGCCTGACTGGAAAATGAGAAGCCAGAGTGCTCAGCCATCGAGCAGACCCCACTCGGCGGCCAGAAAGGAAAGACCGCACTGCTGTGAAAGCTTGAACTGAAAACAACAATGTGTACCAGGGATACTGTAGATAAACTTTCACTTTGCCATACTCTAAGGAAATATTGATTGCTTTTATATACATAGACTATGACTGAGGTTTGAGTTTGGGGGCTACAACTTCATCACACTGGACAGGTCGCTGGTCTTTTGAATAGAGGATATCAGGGATTGCCTTGAAGGAATTAGTTCCTGAAGAAATGCATTGATCATGGCGGGCTTGGGTGTCAAGATTGCCATGATTTAAGGAGTGATTTCTTCATATTTGGATTTTTATAATCTGTGATCTAAGATTGGGGACCTGTGATCTTAGTTTTAGTGTTTCTGGCTCTCAACAAGGATTGCACAAATCATCCTCTGTTTTGTAAGAAAAAAGATCACCCCCATTCCATGGTAACTTCTTACTACTCTCTATACCCAGCAGACCCCCTAAGTTTGTTGTTAAAGTTTAAAGGATACTGAGTGTACTTGGGAAGTTTTTAATGAAACGAAACAAAACAAACATTAGAAACGATTCAGAGAAAACTGGAACACTCTCGTTCAATGCTTGTGGGAACAGATAATGAATGGTCCAGTCACTTTGGAAAACAGATTGGCAATTTCTTACAAAGTTCAATATGCCATTACCGTATGGCCCAGCAGTTCCACTCAAAAATGTTTTAAGACAAATGAAAGCTTATATGTAAAAGAAAACTTTAATATCAATGTGTCCAGTAGCCTTACTCAAAGTCACGTAAACCTGAAACCAACCTATATGTCCTTCAACTGAAAGGACAAGCCAACACTGGTCCATCCGTACAATGGAACACTACTTAGTAATGAAAAACAAAGAACTACTGATACCTACAACCACTGGGATAAGCCTCACACACATCACGCTCTGTGAAAGCATCTCGACTCAAAAGACTCTATACAATAAAATTCAATTTTTGTAATAATCTGGACAGATAGAAAATACATCAATAGATGCCTACGTCTTAGTGTCAAAGGAGTGGTGCTTCACTAAGCAGCATAAGAGAATTTGGGGAGGGGTTATAATGGTTCTGTACTTTGATTAGACGCCCCAGTGGCATAGTAGATTATATCTTGAGTTGTTCACTGCAGTCAGCGGTTCAAACCTACCAGCTACTCTGTGGGAGAAAAATGAGGCTTTCTACTTTCAGAAATCCACCAGGGCAGCCCTCCGCTGCCTCATAGGGTTGCTATGAATTACAATAAACTTAATGGCAGTGAGATTAGTTTTGAGTATCTTGATTCTTGTACTAGACTGTGCATATATATTTATAAAAACTCATTTATGTAACATTACATTTAAAAGTCAATTAATATGCAAGAAAAAGCAACCATCCTCTGACTAAAACAATGACTGCACATTTACTATGCACTCCAAAGATGGCGAGACTCTAATGTAACTCACAATGTTTCTATCTTTTTAAAGTCGTATCTTATCTTTGTACTTCACTGTAGTGAGAACAGAATGCCAACACCCTGTATTGGCTAATCCAATCTGGCTCCTGCCTGCCTTCCTAACATGTCTCCTGCCTCTTGCCCTCTAGAACACAAGCACTCTAACCTTCTTTTTTGTAGTTATTACGTTAGCTGCATGCTAAAACAGGACAGTTTAGTGAAAGCAAATAATGAAAATAATGTCTAAAACAATCACCGCCTCTTTCCCAACCACTCTCTTTCACTTTGCCCTAATTTATTTTGTTCATTTCTCTTATTACTGGCTGTCATCATCTTCGCACTTTTCCCCTTTATTTATGTATGGATACCCCCTCTAGAATGTCAGTTCCAAGGAAGCAGAGGACACATCAATATGGTTGTCTAGAACAGAGTCCGAAGCACAGTAGATATCTACGAAGTAGCTGCTAAATGAATGAATGACCTAGGAGGAAATTAGACATTGAGTTCAGTACGTAGTGTCCAATGGCAGCACGCTGGGACTTTAGAAGACAGGTCTCTAGCATGTGTAGGAAGCTGTGGGTGAGATTCCAATGAGAGAGTACAAGGTCACATACCTGGAGACACTCAAGCCAAATCCAATCCATTGCTGTTGGGGCACGGCCACCTCTTGAGTGCCCCTTGTGTTAACAGAGTAGAACTGCAGCAGGAGTTTCCCTTGGGTGTGCTCTTTTCAGAAACACACTGCCAGGAACTTTCTTCCATGGTATGGTTGCGTGTGTTTGAATCATGAACCTTTAGATAAGCAGTCAAATTGCTAACTGCTTGCTCCACTAGGGACCTCAGTCAACACTTAGTGTAGAAGCTTCATTAATACATTCATACATATTAAGCATGCAGGGATATTTGGAGCTAAGGAAAACAATCTTTTTCTAGGAATATCATGGTTTCCATTTACGATCTGCAAATTGAAATTGCACTCGGGACTTATCGTTGACAGCTTTTATTTATGAGGCAGTGAACAGTAAGATTTACTCTGAGTCTCATAACGATGCGACGGGTGCTCTTGACAGGCCATCTCCTTGACCATGCTGTGGTTTCACTTCTGTGAGAAACCCAGGTTCCGCCTCTCGTACTAACCAGGACGAATCACACATCAGATCTTAGCGTGGCTGTTCTGTTTTGTATTTCATTTAGAGTATTGGAAATGAAAGCAATGAGGGTTGGATTGACAGGCAGAGTTTACAGGAAATTCTAGGGGGGAAACAGACAGCATAAACAGAAAGAACCCAGCCAAGCAAACTGACACGAGCAAAAGGAACCCTTAGGGAACTGTAATGCATTTTTGTTCTCTCTTGCTCTAATCCTATCCATCAAACAAGAATGATATGTCATACTTCCCAGAGAGTTCCACTACTGCCACTCCCGTCACAGTCCTTTAGAACGGCGAATGTACGCGGGAGAACGGTTTCAGCACAGTCTTGATCCCCTAATTCTCGTATTCTGCAATAAGCTCTTCCCAAGCCCAAACATAAACTGGATGAATTTACAGGAAACCCTTTACTTAAACCGTGAAGCTTAGTAGTATCAGATCTAAAGAAAATACACAGGACCAGAGAATTGCAAAATATGTTTCCCCACCTCTTAGGGTTTTTTTTTTCTTCCTCAGTCCATGCCGAATATCTGTCATGGTTTGAAAATATTGTCATATAGGTATCGGACTAAGAAAATATATAGAGCATCCAAACAGATACTTCAAGCATAGATGCTTTTTTTTATTGGGGAACTGAGAGGGGAACAAATGGCACAGCTTTTTAGCCATAACAACAAAGCAAAGACCATTTGAAAACCGTGACTTTATATTTTTGTACCTGGTGATAAATGCCTTGCCAATGCTGTTATATAGAACTGGGAATGCAGTCTGCTAACACACTTTCCTGAGAATACTGCCCTTTCCTCAGAGAAGCTGCTTTGTCAAGATTCATACAGCCTTATGTGTCTGGCAAGTGTCCTTTATGTCCTTAGTCAAGGGCTTGTAAATCAGAGGCAGTTTTGCCTGCCAGGGGACATTTGACGACGTCTGGAGACAGCTTTGGTTGTTGCAATTTGTGGGGATGTGCTACTGGAATGCATGCGACCAGAGTCTACTAAATATTCTACAACACCAGGACAGCCCCTGGTGACCCGAGTGCAAAACGCAAGGGTCATTTGGAGAAACATCACTGTAGACAGGTGAGTGCATGCCTTCTGGGGTGGCTTCACATGACCGCGATAGCAAATGTCATTGTGGCTGAGAGAAGCTCACTCAGTGATCTATAGGGTTACCAGACGTCCTTTGGAAGACTTCATATTTTTAAGGAGTACAAAAAGTTACTTGGTTCTTTGGAAGTTAGAAGTGCCTCCCATAAATCCAGAAAATTCACGTCTAGGCCCTTAATGGGACATTGTATTGCCTGCAGAGGAGTCATCTTCAGGGGATTTGGTAGTCAGTAGTAATATGGTGAAATCTTATTTCACTGACAATAAAAATAACATGGATCTATCAATAACCCCAGGGTAAAATGTTCCTTACTGTAGAGAAACACAGAAAATCCTATTTGCACATGGAAATAAACAACGCTGGCTTGTGTTTCATGTCCACAGGCAATATTGTTAGAG